TTGCCATAGGTTATCGAGGGCCCTGAATCCGAATCCATTGCCCATTTAGGTGGCCGAGGTCTCATTAGTTGAAAACCGACCAATCAGAAACGAACTTTCTTATTTTAAAGGCTTTTGACCTTTTTGATGGAACTTTGCTATAGGTTATCGAGGGCCCTGAATCCGAATCCATTGCCCGTTTCGGTGGCCGAGGTTTCATTGGTCAGGAACTGACCAATCAAAGACGAACTTTCTTATTTTAAGACTTTTGGTCGTTTTGAGTGAATTTTGCCATAGGTTATCGAGGGCCCTGAATCCGAATCCATTGTCCATTTCGGTGGCCGAAGTCTCATTAGTTGAAAACCGACCAATCAGAAACGAACTTTCTTATTTTAAGGCTTTTGACCTTTTTGATGGAACTTTGCTATAGGTTATCGAGGGCTCTGAATCTGAATCCGAAGCCCATTTTTTTGGCCGAGATTTCATTGGTCAGGAACCGGCCAATCAGAAACGAACTTTTTTTTATTTTGAGACTTTTGGCCGTTTTGATCGAACTCTGCTATAGGTTATCGAGAGCGCTGAATTTGAATCCAAAGGCCATTTTTTTGGCCGAGATTTCATTGGTCGAAAACTAACCAATCAGAAAAGAACTTTCTTATTTTAAGACTTTTCGCCGTTTTGATCGAACTTTGCTACAGGTTATCGAGGGCCCTGAATCCGAATCCGAAGCCCATTTTTTTGGCCGAGATTTCATTGGTCAGAAATCGGTCAATCAGAAATGAGCTTTTTCATTTTAAAACTTTTGGTCGTTTTGAGTGAACTTTGCTATAGGTTATCGATGGCCAGGATTCCGAATCCGAAGTCAGTTTTTTTGGCCGGGCTTTCATTGTGTGAAATCCGGCCAATCAGAAACCAGCTTTTTTATTTTAAGCCTTTTCGACGATTTGATGAAACTTTGCTATAGGTTATTGATGGCCCTGAATCCGAATCCGAAGCCATTTCTTTGGCCGAAGTTTCATTGGTTGGAAACCGGTCAATCAAAAAAGGAACTTTTTTATTTTACGGCTTTTGGCCGTTTTGATCGAACTTTGTTAGAGGTTATCGAGGGTGAGAAATCCGAATCTGGAATCAGGATTCCAAAATTCAGATCTCGAATCTATTCGTTCTATGAGAAGTGATGTTGAGAAACAGAAAGTACTTTGTAATACGTGACAGTAGTGTAATGAATCATGAAATACGAAGATAAGATGAAATTAGAGTGCTTGTAGAACAAAGATTGAGGAATGAGAGCGAGTTACGCAAAAAAAATTATTTAGATTGACAGGATACAACGGCTGTGTCCACTTATTCAGAATATTTCAGATTATCGGTAAATCTATACTAACGTGTCCTCTTCCTGAATACTGATAAGCTTCCAAAGAAAATTTCTAATGTGGATGAATTTTTTTGTAAAGGATCAAACTTTCCATCAGTTTTTTAAATAGGAACGATGGCTCGATTTTGAAAATGGTATCAACCTTTCGTGAGTGAAAGTAGCTGGAAGTAGCGGATAGCCGTGAATGGCGTTCCTTCGGAAGGACGGCGAACGAATAGCTGCCTCTAAACTAGGTTTATTCAAATCTGTTTTACGACATTTCTGCATAACATCAAGCAAGGTCCTTAAAAAAGTGCCACAGAGACTTAACATGTGACATTTTATGTAGAGAAGGACTCCTATAAACATGGAGAAACTCGAGAGACGACACGTATATATTTAATAGATATCTTGCTGGATATAGGAAATCTAGTACCCTTTAGTTACGAGTAGAGAAGCTTTTGAAGCAGTCGAAATGTGGATTAGTCATGCCTTGAATAAGAAAGTAGTCATTTGAGAATATGTGTTCAAAGATAGTAGTAGCTAAGTGTGAATAGTGCCACGTCGAAACTCCGACAGTGAAATATAGTAGCTTCTATTTCTATTTCACAATTTTTTTGGTATGAGATATGGTCTATTAAGCTAGTTGTTTGTGTGAAATCATATACTTAAGCTTCTTTCGATGGCGAGCTCCATGAAATCTTAGATTGACTAGCTAGGTAAAGGATTGAAACGCATAAGGAATAGTTCACAAGTATTTTCACTTTGGGATTTCTCATGCGATAAATATAGGCAGCTTTGAAACTAATCCAAATCTAGAATCCAGTAAAATTTAAATAACAGTGCATGATTATATAATTACTGGAAGAGAACGATGCATAACAGCAATTAGTTGCGCGTGACGACCCACTCGGATGCCGACGAGTGACTAGCTGCTGCCCTAAAAAATCCTTTGAATAGAATTCTTTTAAGCTTCTAATCCATTGGAAGGATCTCTAGCACTTAGATCTTACTAGGATTCATGGGAGGAAGAACTGGCAAGAGGGTTAACAAGTGTATTTGAATGAAGTGTGAGAACGAGTGTGTTGGAGATCTTCAATATCGGAATCGAACATTTCCTGAAAAGCGTCAATAATACAATTTGCATCGAATCATCAAAAGTGGACTTGAATGGAATTTAATAATCCTTTATCTTCATAGATACGTCATCTGCCCATTGACTTGTCAAATTTTTTTTCCGGCTATTTAAAATTCGTTATTTAATCTCACAAAGACTCAGAGTTGAAGCCTGATTCAACTTGCGTATGCCGGATATTAGTTTGAACAAATATAGCTTTTTAGTCTGATAGCTACGCTAAACATGCATTTTCGTAGTGGGTACCGGTCAGCGATATTGCCCGCCTATGTGTTTATGAGTATGCGCATTATTAATACAGTTTGCGTGAAGTGTAGTGCATCTTTACTGCAGTCACGCTGATATTTTTTGTCTGCTGATTTTCTCTGAAAATCGAATATACTATTTTTTCGTGGTTTGAGGATATTGCTGTGTCAGTGTGGGTCACGTAGATTTCTTTTGAGTGTTATTGATAGAGTAACAGATTAAATGAACGAATGTTATAGCTAGCAGTATTACAACGGTACCAATAGCATTATACACGCTGACACATGTGTACACTAATGTTGACACTAGCACAAAGCCCTGTGCAAATGCCCGATGCTACCTTTTGCAAAATGTCTGCAGTAATAAACAACTGCCGATGCAGTGAAATATTCAGTCGAGGGTTAAGCGAGTCACACAGACGAGCGTTACTTGTTCTTTATGATAAATATGAAGAATTTGATAATGCTATATTAACAATGATATCACATTCATCAGAAGCATGGCGTGAAAATCATTTTAAAGATATAATTAGTAAAGTAGCTAATATTGAATTATATTATAAATCAATTGAGTTTTATTTGGAATTTAAACCAATGTTAATAAATGAATTATTAATTATATTATCACCACGTCTTGATCATACACGTGCAGTTAATTATTTTATAAAAGTTTAATTGAATTGTTTAATAACAATTTATATATATGTTCGAATCTGCACTTCGGTATCTCTAATATTTATATTTTCTTTATGTAAATCTCAGTCGTTTATAATAAGTGTAAAAGAAAAGAAAATATTTTCTGTCCTTTGCAACGTTAGATTACTTTAATTTAGAATAATCATGGATTGTGACAGATATAAATATCTAATTTTTTTTTGTATATTTTAGTTAAACAACTTCCATTAGTTAAACCATATTTACGTTCAGTACAAAATATAAATAATAAAGCAATTAATGAAGCACTTAATAATTTATTAATTGAAGAAGAAGATTATCAAGGTTTAAAAAATTTCATTGATGCATATGATAATTTTGATAATATATCATTGGCACAACGTCTTGAAAAACATGAATTAATTGAATTTCGTCGTATTGCTGCATATCTTTATAAAGGAAATAATCGGTGGAAACAAGTTGTTGAATTATGTAAAAAAGATCGATTATATAAAGTAATTTAATTTTAATATAATTAAATGAAAATTATCTTGAGGAAATTGATCGTTATATATCTATTGAGATTTCCACGAAGATACATCTTCTAATTGGACTTCATATCCTAGCCATGAGTAGACCACTATAAGTCTAAGAAAATTCTAAAAACGTTCGTATTTATAGTGTTCCTAAAATGAGGTCTCCTGTCTCCAATTCTAAGAAAAATCTTTTTTTTTTTTCAAGAAGTGGAGATTCAAAAGTCAATATACAATCTTTATTTGATGAATAATTGTAAAAGGTCAAATCTTCGTACAGCAAAGCCACGAATCTGAATTCCTTTTAGACTTTCCTTAATCTCATAGAAAACTACTAGTAGCCAAACGATATTTATTTGATGATGTTATTGAATGATTCATTTTTATTGGTAGAAATATGAACAAAAGTATAATAGAATATGAAGTAAGTTTATCTCGATAAAATAATAGTCGAACTAGACGAGAAGAAAAATATCGACATAGTGGAGGAGAACGGTAAAGAAGAACAATGGCTATCTACGTATATATATATACATACGTACATATGTACAAATAGTCATTATTGTTCTTCAGTTTTCGAAAACATGTCGTTTTCTTTAGCACCTAAAATATTGTCAATGCGTTGGGATCAATTGGATGTATTGATAAGAAGCACTTCATAATGTGCTTAATGAAAGATAAGTTTTTATTTTAGATTCCTCAAACCGAAAATGAATTACAGCAATCATTGGAAGAACTTAGTAAAATAAATAATAAAATTGATGGTCTTAAACAAACATTAAACAAATATAAAGAAGAAGAAGAAGATAAATGATGAATATCATTTTAAAACATTTAGTAAAATTTAATTTTTTGTTTTAGCTGATGTATCTGTACAATTCGCCGATTTAAATAAAGAAAAAGAAAAAACAGAAAAATCTCGTTTAAACGGATTAACTACAAAAGTAAGAAGTACTTCATAATGTGCTTAAGAAAACAAATTTTTATTTTAGATTGTTCGAGCAGAAGTAACATTTGATGAATTAAATCATGGTTTCACGAAAATAAATCAATATTATGAAGCTAAAATTGCCGAATTAAATGAGGCAATTAAAAAACATGAACAAAACTTAACTCAAAATAAATCTGAACAAAGTAATGTGACTTTGATCATTAGAAAAAAAAATTTAGTAAAACATGTTTTGTTTTAGATCAGGTAATGGAAAGTTTAGTCGATGTTAATGAAAAGGAAAAAGAAAAGAAAAAAATACATTTATATTAATTAGCTGCATTAGTAAAAAGTACTTTATAATCTCCACAAAAACCATAAATTTTTATTTTAGATTCTTCAAAAGGAAGAAGATTTAAAGAAATTACATGATAATATTGCCAAAATTGATAAACATGATGGAAAAAATATTTGTAAAATCAAAAACAAAATTATTGATCTTGAAAAACAATTACGTGAGCATAAAAATGAAGAAAGTAAATGATGAAATTTATTTTAAAATAATCAATAAAACATATTGTTTTTTTAGATCATCTATTAGAAAATTTAACAGATGTAAAAGAAAAAATTTCGTTTTTATCAATTACTCGTCTTGGTAAGAAATGCTTCATGATATGCTCAATAAAATATAAATATTTATTTTAGATTCAACAAAGTGAAAGAAAATTGCAAAAATTATCGAATGATATTATCGAAATGAACCAAAATAAATCGGTAATACCTGAACAAATGAATATCAATATTAATGATGTTCGAACAAAACTCAACACGTATAAAGAAGAACAAAGTAAATATGAAGATTGCTTTAAAATAATTAGTAAGACATATGTTTTTAGATGATTTATATAAATCATTAGATAAGGAAGATAAAGAAAAAGAAGAAGAAGAAGAAAAGCAAATATGTCGTTTATACGAATTAGCTACATGGGTAAGAAGTGCTTCATAATGCACTCAAGGAAATAAGTTTTCATTTTAGATTGGTCTAGAAAAAACAACATTGAAAGAATTATGTTACGATTGGACCAAAATGAAACAATATCATCAAAGTCAATTACGACAATTTAAATATGAACAAAGTAATATGACTTTGATCATTAGAAAAAAAATTTAGTAAAAGATGTTTTGTTTTAGATCTATTAATTGAACGTTTACTCGATGTAAATGAAAAAGAAAAAGAAGAAAAAAAAGCACGTTTATTTCAATTACTCGTCTTGGTGAGAAATGCTTTATAATATGCTTCAAAATACAAAAAATTTTATTTTAGATTCCTCAACAGGAAGAAACATTGGAGAAATTATGTAGTGATATGGATAAAATTGGTAAACATAATCCAGTAGAACTTGATCAAATGAACACTAAAATTGAAAATCTTAAAGTAAAATTAACTGAATATAAACAAGAACAAGGTAAATCTGAAGATTATTGTAAAAAAAATCAGTAAAACATATTGTTTTTTTTATAGATCGAGCATTAGAACATTTAACTGATGCAAATGAAGAAAGTTCCAAAGAGAAACAACAATTTCGTTGTTATCAATTGTTTGTATTGGTAAGAAATGCTTCATAATATGCTCAATAAAATATAAATATTTATTTTAGTTTCAACAAGGTGAAAGAAAATTGGAAACATTATTGGAAGATACAGATGAAATGAAACAAAATAATTTGGTAATACCCGATCAAATGAATATCAAAATTAATGATCTTCAAATAAAACTCAACAAGTATAAAGAAGAACAAAGTAAGTATGAGGATTATTTTTTAACATTCACTAAACATTTTTTTTTCTTTTAGAATATATACACATCAACTTTTGATCAATTAGTATTAATCCAACATTATTTGAATTATTTATTAAATAAAATTTTATTGATGATGTCGATATAGTTAAATCATGTCGAACTGATAAAATCTTTTCATAAAATAAAATGTCGACAGTATACATGCATGTTTTTTTTTCTCCAGAAATTTTTTAGTAGAAAATCGTCAATTGGATGATACATCAATATCGACCTATCAACTTTATTGTTCTCATTTATTTGACAAAATACAATAGAACTTAGATTTATTAAAAATTAGTTATCGAATTGCTTATCTCAGTTATGTGTTTCTATATAAATGCAATTACATAGGTCTTGTTAGGTAGATGAATCATGCAAATGTTTAACAAGCAAATAGCTACTATGTAATAGTGACATGTTTTTTAAAGGACATCATTCGATAAGTTTATTAATGAAGTTATTCTTAAAGACACCATCAAATTGATAATAAAGAAATTGATAGCAGATTCTACTAACGATAAGAAATATATCACATATTTTTTATCACAAGATTTCCATGTTTAAAAAAAATATTTTTTACTCATTAAAGTACAATGTTTATATTCAACTGAAGGTTAAAATCTCCAAAGAATTATTTATACCAATGACGTTTTTGGTAGAGTTTTTCTATGAAATAATATAAGAAATTTTTTTCTCGACTTCATATGAAACATTCATAAAGAAGTATACCTAAGAAGTGTACGATATAATGAGTTCACTTTCTTTGGACATATAAAAAACCATATTGAACATATTGTTTAGATACAAAATATCTATGATGAAATCTTTAACAAAGAGAAACAAATCCAGATTGCTAACGATTCATGACAAACGAAAAATAGAAGTCTTCTCTTTTTCTTTTTCTTTTTCTTTTTTCAAGAGTAAATAAGTAAACGATACAAGTTCTATTACATATCTTAATATGTAAAGTATTGGTTCATTCCAACTCAATCTTCCAAAATATCAGAATTCTTTTATCATTCATTTTATTTAAATGATGAGAATAATTACTTTCACGTATTGAAGTGAATACGTAAATGCCCAGTTTATTACGCAAAACAAAGTATACTGGGTGTCCCAAAAGTAACGAGACAAAGTTTTTTTTCGATTTTTTTTTCTTATAAAACGTCAGCTAGTTCTCATATTTTTACCACAGATACTAGATGACATAAGTGGAAGATTTAGCACATGAACAATATTTGAATGTAGTAATTTATTCAAAGGCATACAAATATAGTATTACCGAAGAAATAGAAACATACTTGACAGTTATACTTTCCACTGTCGTAGCGTATACTACCTTGTCTTTGGTAGTATTCATATATGTACCAGTGGTGACGTCTGTAGTAAACAATACGAATGGTCATCTCTTCTATCAGATGATTCACATTTTGTGCTCTGTTTATTATCTGTTTCTTTTTTCGCAGTTCTAACTGCGTTTTTCGTATTTTTTTTAATCACGAGTGAAAGTTCTCGTTTGTTGACATCTGAAAGGATCGAAATTGTAAAATGGTATGCTATGTACCAGAATGCAGGTGACGTTGCTCGTCAGTTTCAACAATGTTATGATCGAACTCCTCCAACACGAAAGAATATTTTGAATCTTGTATGAAAATTTGATGAAACCGGAAGTGTTGAAGATGAACCCAGATCTGGCAGACCTAGATCTGTCAGTACCGATGAAAATAAAGAACGTGTTCGTGCAGCTTTTGAAGAAAGTTCTGTAATATTATTAAGAAGAGCTTCATTGAATTTAAATCTGTCTAAAAGCAGTCTTCAACGAATGATGAAGGAGCTGGGATTGAAGCCTTATCATCCTCAATTACTGCATGCTCTAAACGAAGATGATCCCGACAGACGTTGCGAATTTGCTGATATCTTTCTGTAATTGGTCGCTAAAGACTCTTCGTTCCCTAATCGAATTGTGTGAACCGATGAAGCTACTTTCAAGTTGAATGGACACGTCAATCGACATAACTGCGTTTACTATGCTACAGAAAACCCTCATATCGTCATTACCCAGGAGATTAATGCCCCAGGCATTATTGTATGGGTCGGAATTTGGTCTGGAGGCTTTATTGGACCGTTCTTCTTTCGTGATACAGTTACTGGACGCAGCTATCTGGAAATGCTTGATGAAAAAATTGTTCCTGAGATTGAATATCGGATGGATTTATAAGAAATATTTTATTTGCGCGATGAAGCTCCAGCTCATTATCAACAATCCGTTCGACGCTTCTTGGATAAAACCCTCGCTGATCGATGGATTGGTCGACGTGAACCAATAGACTGGCCAGTACGATCGCCGGATTTGACACCGACCGACTTCTTTTTATGGGGTGTGATAAAAGACCGTGTGTATGCAACAAAACCCCAAAATCTTCAAGCACTCAAAGATGCTATTATTACAGAGATGGAAAGATTACCAATGGAATTATGCCAAAAAGCTTGTCAATTAGTACCTGAGAGACTGCAACTTTGCAAAGACCTAGAAGGTGAACACATTGAGCAATTTTTGTGAAAATCTTCTTACTGCACAGGCTTAACAAAGACATACTTTGCTATGTGTAATTTTTCTGTTCTATTGCTTTCATAAAAGTTTTGCTAGAACTCACGCATTTTACCTTATTATTGGTTATCCTATATTTGTATGCTTTTGAACAAATTACTACATTCAGATATTGTTCATGTGCTAGATCTTTCACTTATGTCATCTAGTATCTGTGGTATAAGTATGAGAACTAGCTGACGCTCTATAAGAAAAAAAATTGAATAAAAACTTTGTTTCCTTACTTTTGGGATACCCTGTAAATGTGCATGTTTATTTTCTTTCTCTTTCTGTTATCTGCCTGTTTCTTTAGTTCTTCTTGATCGTTGAAAATTGTTCATTCGTTTCCTTTCATTATATACTCTACATTCATTTCTATTTTCTCTCGGTCAACAAACATTGATAGTGACCTTGATCTTTTTTATTCTTTTTGCGTATTAGCTTTTCTATTGCATTTTTTATAATACGTGATACGGTTATCATCATATATACATATATATTCCTTGTTCTATTTGAAAAGGACAGTTATTGTTCTCATTCCCTTCCTCTTCATCCTTCCATTCTTTCGCGCTTTGATTCTTCAGCATTGAAATAAAATTGAACTCACGTTCAACAAAATACAAAATTTACAATCAGTAAAAGCGACTTTTCTCTACACAGGAAAGAAAACAAAAAGAAGTGCTCTGTAACTTTGTAAGTGATGGTATGATGAATCGAATAATATAAAATATGTGCCTTTATCATTTACGTAGAAAGACTTGATTCGTTTACAAAATCGATCTCTACGTAGTGCACTTGACGAGATTCGATGCGCCACCACCAATACAGTTTCGGATCTAGAGTCGATTCAAAAACTTTTCTAGACTCAATTTTTGATGCTGAATCTGAAAAAATTATTTTCAGAAGGAAAAAAAGAATAAAATAGAAAATTTTGCATATTTCGCGAAAGGATGCATTTTTCTTGAAAAAACAATACCTCTCGAGTATTTCGTATTTGTCGATCGAAAAGAAGTTTTTGCTAAGGCTAAAAAGTAGATATTCGTGATCAGCAGCTAAAAATCTATCAAATGATGTAAAAAAAGGCAAAAAAACATTTTTACTTGAAGTTTGAATTGCCTGCACCTTATATACGATTATAATAACTCGATATGAACTGCACATGAGAATAGCTATCAAATTTTTTTGTTTCGAGGATTTTTATTTATAAGTATGAATATAACATATTAAGAGTTTCAAAATAAAAAACAACTTTTAATTTTTTTTACTTCCTTTCGCTTTTCAATATCTTTCCACGTGTAAATATGTTTTGTTTTTATTTCATGTGCAAGATTCATTATATGCAGATCACTCAAGCATATCGTTTCATTCGCATATTTAGTTGTGTGCAACTTTCTATGCGCATCTTGTGTAACTCCGTTCGCGATCGAATATATAGCAAGATAAGAAAAAATAAAAAAAAGAAAGAAAGAAAAATATGCAAAAAAAGCACAGTAAGAAATAAATACAGTTACCTTGTTACAAAGGTAAAAATAATAAATCATTCTACAAAACAAGCAAACAGTGTTACGCACACAACACCAAATCACATATTTCGTTGTGGTGAGTAATTTATTAGAATGAAGCTAAAATCAGAAATAAGTTTATTAAATAATGCACACATAGCTTATATGTGAACTACACATTAGAGACGATTGAGATAGATATGAAGTCGATCTCAGTTATCGACTTTTTTCTGGACGATCAATTGATAAATGTTTATTATTTAGTAGTCTCCTTAATTCACTTTGCTGTCTTCCTCTAACACTTATACAGGATGCGTAAAAATATTTTTCCAGGGAAGTAACGCTCTGATTTCAAACAACATCAACAAAAATTTTATACCAAATTGAAGCGCATCGAAAACGGGACTCACCAATACTGCATAGTAAGCGTTAGGGCAACTTTTCACTATGAAATTCAGAGAATTCCTAAAATTTTATGCCATATCAGCAGAGAGAAATTCCTTTCATAAAGCAGCTCAAACTGGATCTCATTTAAAATGATGAATACCAAAAAGTGCTGGATACCTGATCTAGAAATATTGGAACAATAATCAAAAATAAAGCTAAAAAAATGGCTATTAGACATGGAACAGAATTGTTTTGATGAAGAACCTCTAAGAAAACATATTTCATATATTTTGTCAAATACGGAAATAAGCATTGAACTATTTGAAATTATTTTATGTTCATATTTGTTTCATCTTTCTGCCATAAAAATGCTATTATTTGTCATACTGACTATTGATTATGTTCATCAAGTCTTAAGAAATTGATATTACTTTTTTATATTCGTTATTTTAAATGAAATCTGGTTTGAACTGCCTCATGAAAGTTATTTAATATTAGTGAATCCCGTTTTCGACGCACTTTAATTTGGTATAAAATTTGTTGTTGATGTTATTTGAAATCACAGCGCTATCACCCTGGAAAAATATTTTTACGTACCCGGTATAGTTTAATTAGCCTTAAGTCTTTGACTATGTCTATATATTACATAATTAATTTGCTTGCTTTGTTTGCCAATACTATACATAATATTCAGTTAATCAATAGACGACCGTTGAATTATCAACATAATGAAACTAAGATTTTGATAACAATAGATATAAAAATGATATTGATACAATAGTAAAATCTTCATGTCGGTGGGGATGAGCATGAAAAGCTTCGTGTCATCCAACATTGTCTCAAAACCAACTTGAAATGCTTCGGATCATACGGCAATGAAAAAAAGTGAGCTTGAAAACCTTTGAACAATATTACAAGGTATCAACATGAAGCCATAATATTTCGCGTTACACAGCAAAGCGCAAGGAAGAGGCCAGATGAGTTCAATCTGGCATTTTTCTGTGAGTGTGATCATGATAGATTTGAGATTGAAGGTGTTGGTGGACATTGGGGTTGATTATCTCCTAAGCCACTGCGACCGCTGTATCCAACTTGCTTGAGAAAAGCTTGTACCGATACCGGCAAATAAAAAAGTAACACTG